ATTTTTTTTTATCAACTGAAGATTTGCATTCTTAAAAATAAACTAAAAAAAATAATTGAAAAATATATATTTACTTTTCTGTTGCCAATGAAAAAAAAAATACTGATGTCTACAATTTTTCAATTATAAGGAAAAAAAAACAAGAAAACTTCACGGTGGTGTCGTGGTAGCATGTTTGCCTCGAGTGCGGGGGGTCATGGGTTCGAACCCCGGCAGGGTCAAAACAAAAACTTTAAAATTGTTATTTGCAGTACGCAGCATTTAGGAGACAGAGCAAAGACTGGTCGGTTCGGAGTTGGAATAAGGTGTCCGGGCAGGGTGACATGTCTAGAAGCACGTTTAGGGGCGGGGTGCCCGAGCCCCCCTTATGGGGCTACTTTTTTGGCAAATGAAGATGTTTTACCTGTTCTACTCCAAATGTTGCCTAGTTTGGGCCCCCCTTTTTTTAAAATACTGTTGTAACTATATAACAGTTGAAAATCGGATAGAATATAAAATGGTCTTACATTTTAGCCTCTTTTTGCCTTTGCAATCTTAGGGGAAATAAATCTTAGTTATAAACCGTTCGTGCAACGGTCACAGGCAACGGTTGCTTGAGGGCATAATCAAGTACACACAATATTGTTGCGAATGAATACAAATAATATCCACGTAAAATTGATAGCAAGTTGCAGCTTAAATTCCTTAAAATACATTTGATTATGATTCATACAACATACGTTGATAATAAGCGTATATATCAATTATTTTCAAAAGTTTAATGACGGCTCTCATTTCGTACTACGGTTGGTACGGTAGCAAATCGGGAAACATCTATTCCCCGAATGTCAACTATTGAATTAGACTTATCAGGTGTAATACCAACATTGTTTTTCACCTATTAGTCTTTGATAAATTCACACTTTTCAAAACATTGTGCAGAATTTATCTTTGTTTCAAATAAAGAAATACTTGGCATGAGTAAAGTTTTATCCTGTCCAGTACTACAGACAAAATTTCACATAACATTTCATAGCATATAAGATAATAACAATCACTGGAAGTTAACCAATCAACTGTCCACCCCTTTCTTTCCTCTTTACAAGCTTTAGTAACCATGTAACCTCAAATTTCCAAAATATTTTTTTAGAAACACCAAATGAAAAAAGAATGACGCGTTGAAACACCCAAGATATATGTTTATAATTTTTACTGCAATGAAATGTAGGATTAATTTCCTACAACTGTCAAATTCAAGGGAATATTTTTTTTCGACCCTTTTTCGTATGCAACCGGATGTGACGTACTATGATTTGGTGGTATTACACCTAAAGAAGACTTTTTTGTTGAATAAACTTAATGTGATTTTTTACCTTTGTAATACTGGTTATTTTAAGTATTACTGTCAAGTTTTGTCATAATCAGTTCAACAGTTTGAGAAAAATCTAGTATAATGTAAGACAACATCTACAGCAATTCGAGCAAAATTTCTTCGGAAAATCCAAACCAAGCCGCATCATGATAGAATATAGTTTGAACCAATAAATTATCAAATATTTATCTCATCTGCCTACAAACAGTTGCATACGATACAAAAGATGACTCTTGGACGATAAATACCTATAATGGACCTCTTTGTCTTCATTATAAGGTCCCTTTTGGTCCATTTATACCTCTCATTTTCCTCAAAATTTCAACTTTTTAGGCCAATAAATGAAAATTATGGGGTAACTTTCACACATATATGCAAGAAATGTGATAATAAATGAGTAATTGAAGTAATCAAGCTGAATGAACTATTCGTATTAAAGTTAACTGGCGCCATGGAGGTTTCAATAATTCCTTACGTAAAATTTTAATTCAGGCCGCGATCCAGACAGGGACATACAGTGCTTCCCCTTTAGTGAATAATTTGTTGTTACTGTTTCAAAAAGAATTTCATTAACTTATAACTGTATATTTATTAAAGTGTTACTTAGGAACAAGTTTTCTTTCTAGCAAAATATAAGAAATAAGGAGAAAAAGTCAGAAAAAGCTCCCCAATACACTGAATATGGCTTGCTCTGTCTACTAATATTCATGGTAGAGTACTATTTCAAGGCAATTTTCTCTTAAAATGTGCTTTTGAGACTCAATCCACTCAGAATATTTCATTTTTGCAATATTTCAGTGAAATAGCATGACATTTTAACAAATTAGAGTACATACAAGGTCAAAGGTGCATGTGCAGCTTCCCATAATAGGTGTAATACCACCATTGTTTTTCTCCTATTAGTCTTTGATAAATTTGCACTTTTCAAAAAAATGTTCAGAATTTATCTTTGTTTCAAGTAAAGAAATACTTGACATGAGTAAAGTTTTATCCTGTCAAAAGTACTACAGACAAAATTTCACATAACATTTCATTGCATATAAGATAATAACAATCACTGGAAGTTAACCAATCAAATGTCCACCCCTTTTTTTCCTGTTTACAAGCTTTAGTAACCATGTAACCTCAAGTTTCCAAATTTTTTTTAGAAACACCAAATGAAAAAAGAATTGTGCTTTGAAACACCCAAGAAATATGTTTATGACTTAGAAATTTTTTACTGCAATGAAATGAAGAATTAATTTCCTACAACTGTCAAATTCAAGGGAATAATTTATTTCGACCCTTTTTCGTATGCAACTAGATGTGATGTACTATGATTTGGTGGTATTACACCATCATATGATTTTTTCTTACATGAGCAGGATCTGCCTACCCTTCCGGAGCACCCAAGATCACCCCTGGTTTTAGGTGGGGTTCGTGTTGCTCAGTCTTTTGTTTTCTATGTTTTGTTTTGTATCATGTTGTTTGTCTTTTGGTCTTTTTCTCTTTTTGCCATGGCATTGTCAGTTTAATTTTCGACTTATGAGTTTGAATGTCCCTTTGGCATCTTTCGCCTCATTTTCTTTACCATTCGTAGTATGTCGACAGATTTATAATTGTTTCTCTTTAATTTATTCACACCTTATTTGTATAGACACATGTCATTGTGTGCAGTGTATGTTGACCTCAAGATGTCTTTAAATTGCTTTTGTCATTAATTTGTGATCTCACTGTGGTAAAAACATATCTTACATTGGCCACCTATAGCTTGTAAACATTACATAGACAATTGATGATTGAGTAAACATAAACCCAACCAAACACCGAGTATGAACTCAGGTTCACCGTAAGCGTAAACATTTCCTGTTCCTGCTCCACTAGTGAATTATTTATTTTTGAAATTATAAGCTGAATGAGGTAAGATTCATTTACACACGCAAACATATTATATAGAAACATTGTAACATATTTATAGTGCTTGATTTTTTTTTTTATCAAATTGCTTTTAAATGATATAATTACTATTCCCGAAGCTGTTAATGGGTCACTTTTGTGAGACAATACCTTGCAAAAGTATTTTACATAGGAAATCTAAACACTATTGTAAAAAAAAGTTGCGAGCAATCTTTATAGCAATCATACTGCATCATGTTTTTTATATTTATTTATACATGTCATATGCGAGCAAGCAGTAAACTACAATTGACTCAAAACAAATGAATATAAAGTGATGCCGTGCAATTATTTTCAATCATGGTATTTGTGAACTCGCTTTTAATAAAGAGGGCTGTGAAGATTTAAACATTACATTTATACTGTTTTATGTCATTCCATTTCATATTGAGATGTTAACTACCACGGAGTAATACGTAGCAAGAAAAAATTAAAGGCACTTTAATTTTGTTTTGTTATGATTAACCAATTTTCTTTTCAATGTGAATGGTTCAGAGGTACCTCCATCACTAGTATACTGCTTTTGATCTAAAATGTTCATACTGTACTGAATTGACTTCAGGCGAATTGTTGGAACCGTATTGAGTTTACTACAATGTATAAGCCAGACAATTGACTGAAAATGTTTACATAATTAAATGATTTATTGTTCCAACTTTTTAGATGATGTTAAGATCAAAATGGCCGTTTCAGACTAAAATTGAATTAACTAGTGCATGTAACTATACAAATATGAAATGAGCGTTCTTTTTTCTTTTGCTTGATTTCAACGTTGGATATAAGCATATACAATGTTGGAGTCAAATTCATAGATGAAATACAGGAAAAGGATTCCAAGTTCATTTGCAGAAGATTAAAAGACAAATGATAATTTATAAAATTAAATACAAAAGTACAGATCGAACAACAAAAAAAAAAATTAAATCTACTTGTTAATAAATGTGATTCTGGAGAAAAAAATCTTTTCCTCTACCAGAGGCATAACCCAAACTGTTGTTTTTCTTATCGTTGATAATTCTTTCAAGGAGGTCAAATATGATTTGATACCAGCAAGTTTAATATTTGTTATCGGTAACGGCGAATTTTTTTGACACGATATTAAATTGTTTATTGGTGTACACATTTCTAATTGTTTTCCATGTACTATATTACAATGTGAGTTATTTCTGTTTTTTTTTTCTATTTTGTGTAGATTAACTGAACAAGATTAGTAAGGTGTATGATCAATGGAGAATTGAGATCAGAAAGGCAATATGTATTCCGCCTCTTGTTCATAGTGGGGACTGTGTTTTGTTATTTGGAGCATTCGTAGAGTTGTGGCAAATTTGTAATTGTTTCTTTTCAATTTATTTACACCTTATTTGTATAGACACCTGTCAAATCAACATATGTTGACCTCTTATTGTTTCTGTCGTTAGATTACGATCTCACTGACACTTCTTATTTTATCCACCTATACTTGTATCGACTCAAATTTACTATTCTTTGACAAAAAGAAAAAAACATAATGAATTTTAAATTATTTACCAAAAAATCTGTAATCAATTCATAATACTGAAGAGGGAGAATTAAAGTATGCAATCAATTCAATTGAGAATGGAAATGGGGAATATGTCAAAGAGACAACAACCCGATCGAAGAGCAGATAACAGCCGAAGGCCACCAATGGGTCTTCAACGCAGCGAGAAAACCCCGCTAAATAAATAAAATGAAATCAATAAAATGTCTTTTTTCAGAACCCTCTAACATGTAATTAATATTTAATAAGTATTAAAATTATCCAGCAAATTAATCAATAAATGGATATAATTTCGAAGTCAGAATTAATATTGAATTCATCTACTACATTTTTCTTATCATCAAAACTGACGTTTTAGCTGCGTTGCTACGGAAAGAACCCCAGTACAGGTTACTTTTGAATGCCTTGTTAAGACCACTGTGACAACAGTTTTTATGCCACCATGGGCCATAAGAGCCTACACAAGTACCGCCTTCATCATTATCCTGGTCAGTCGTTGAGAACTTCATCCCATTATGATAAACCATTTTATCACCTATATAAATGAAAAAGTATGTTATTGATTAATAATAACCACTGATATTGGGTTAGTTGACGCTCACATATAGCGAAACCAAAATAATTTAAATGTTCTTTTAGTTGATTATTCCACTTTTTGTAAAAGGGACGGAAAATCTCTAGACTACACAAAATTTTCTTATATCTTCAAATCATAAAATAAATGTCTGTTTTAAAACGCCTTTTCTTTTTTTATCTCTATTGTGGCATTTTGAATCGAGTCTGAATTAGTCTTCCCTATCGATGACAAAAGAACTCGTATGCTATCTGTTTTTACTTCTTAACATTTCATTATGTTTTATTATCTTGGTTGGGTTATTCCAAGTGGAATTTTGAGTTTTAAACATCGGTCAACAACTGCCACCTCAAATTTGGATCTAATTGTTTTCGTCGATATTCTAGCCATATGCATTCAAAGTACTGTACGCTAAATACGATTGTACACCAAACCACGCCTAAATCTCACAATACTACATACTAGGTTGTACTGTTATCAATTTACACATAGAGGTATTATAATTACCTGCATTTCCACTATAATTCCCAATTGTCAGTTTGTACTTGGATGCTGCATCACCAACTACAAATGTTTTATACACAGCATACTTCTTCGTATTGGACAGGTCCGTTAGGTTTATTCTCAATTCATATTTACCACTGGATGTCAAGCTGTTGATGTGTTTGTTTCCTTCAGTGTATATAAAACAGTTGCGTTAAAACAGAACAATAATTCACAAATTAAAATGGCGGAACTGAGACTCAAACATATCATTACCATTATACATGTTATAGCAAACGATAGAAAATCCTTCGTTACAACAATTAATAAGATATTATTTAATCATGTCAACGAAGCTTCCTTTTATACTTATATGCATCTAGTTACAATGTTAATGTTGCATCAGCTACGATTTAGACAAAAAAATAAAATAAATATGATTCTTTTTGTTTCAAGTATTTCATGTATTAATAAAAGCTGAAATTTGGATTAAAATTTCGTTATAAGTAGTCAGTTTGGCCTTAATATGTCATATTTAAATCAAAAACATCGCTGATATATTATTGACTTATTATTATTATAAGCCAATAACAATTCAATTCAAATCTTTATTGCCATTATACTATATATCTATAGCATGTGACACAACATAACAAAATAAAAATAAATAATATCAACAAGATCATTAATATACATAATAAAAAAAATATTTGAAGAGTCCCCTGTCCTCATTTCTAAAGACTGTTTTTATAAGGATCCTAGCTTATTTACCTGAATGTGTGATCTTGGGATGAGTATATATGTAATTTTATCTATATCATTTTAATCTGTAAAGTGCATATTTTCATTTATTAAAAAATCAAAATAAACTTTTTATAATTACTGTTACTATCACAATATAACTTGCTGCTCACAAGAAAGAGATTAAACCAAGAGTTCCAAGTGGAGAAGTTTAAATCGTCCCTTTGTTAGTTTTGCCATTACGAGTGGGTTGACCGTTATGAAATATACGTTTCACAGATGACAACGGATATGTTCAAAATGTCGTAAGTACAATCCTGTCCCATTTCCCTTTGAATGTGACCTACCGAATTAGAATTATCACTGGGTCTGTACTAACATGAACAACAAGACGGGTGCCTGATGTGAAGCAGGATCTGCTTACCCTTCCGCACTTGAGATCACCCCCAGTTTTTATAGGGTTGTGTTGCTCAGTCATTGGTTTTCTATGTTGTGTAATGTATACTGTTATTTGTCTTTTGGTTTTTTCTTTTATTATTATTTTCATTATTATGTTACCTTCTTTAGCGACGCGCCATCAATGTCCTGTTACGCTTAACACAATCCTATTAAGGTCAGGATTTTGTGTAGGTTTGCTATACCCCCGCGGTAGTCAACGACTCGAATGGTACTTGTGTACTGTTGTTTGACTGTTTTTGTTTGACTGTTTGGTTTTTTTTTTAGCCATTGCATTGTCAGTTTATCTTCGACAATTTTCAACTAATCAGTTTGAGCGTCCCTTTGGTATCCCTCGCCTTTCTTTTAAAGTGAAACAAGGGTAAACTGATTCGATCCACAAAAATCATTCTTATAGAGGTAAAAACGAATATCAACTTATTCTAAGCTATAATATGAAATCAGACACATCAAGAAAAATCCAATTGCACGTGCTCGCTTTCTATCTATATTCATATTTCTTTTTATATCAAGTTATATGGCTATGGTTATGGTTAAAAAACGCACAAAATGCTAAAACATATTATCGGGTCTCTACATTGTTAATTAATTTATTTGAGGCTTTTTGTATTTCGGATATACGCTTTCGTATGATTTAAATAAAAAATTAGAATATGAGTCAAATCGGTAAACATGAATTTGACAGCTGATGTCCATTCAATATTCAGAGAAAATTTATAACTAATTATTTTGATTTGATCAATTAAAAGATAAATAGTTGTCCAACAAAAAGGGTCAAAACAACAATGACAAACATGCAAACAATAATATTAAAATATTACACGACAAATTATAGATTTATACACCCAAACCTAAACAAAAATCTGGTGAACAAATGGGTCCAGGAACGTTAACGGTCAGTAGTTCCTACTCCACTATTGGATTGTTGGTTTTCTGACAATAACCTGATAATAGTTAAAAATATCATGATTTTGTTCTAATTCAGAAACTATGTGATTTGTATTTCCTTTTACTGTACTTACCTAACCAGTATTCTCCATTAAGATCCCCAAATCCATTTTCGTAATCTGTCCACGTTCTCTGAAAATTTACAGATCCATCTAGTCTTCTTTGGATAACCTGAAATAAATAGCATCATTCCCGTCCTAGTTGTTTCACATTGTTTCACATTTATAATATCGATTTACCTGCGTAGCACGTACGCTTTTAAGAATAAAAAACTATTGGATATAAAAATAAGAAGATGTGGTATGATTGCCAATGAGACAAATCTCCACCAGAGACCAAATGACGTAAAAGGTAACAACTATAGGTCACAGTACGCTTATGAAGCACGTTTGACCTGAAACTTGAAATAAAAAAAAAAACCTTTACGACTATAACAACCAACAAATTCTAATTTAAAGATTGAACCAAATGTGTAAGTTTAGCCTGAATGTATTTATCTTGTAATGTTTTCCTTTTTTTTTTTTTTTTTGTTTACTGACATTTTAAGATTACATTAAAAAGAAAAGATCAATCAAACTACATAAGTAATGAATTAATCTTTATTCATTATACATGTTTTACCAGCAGTTTAAGTTTGAAGAGTATTACCTGACGTCAGGTTTTGATTATTATGAAAGTTATAGTTTCTTGTGTACATTTTAAGTATTAAAGTTAACTGAAAGGTCTCTTAATATGAATGATGAAATAAGAAGCAAATCACACTTATTGTTATACCAAACACGTCAATATTGTTATATGAAATTATGATCTATTAATAACGAAAATATGCGGTAAACGTTTATGAGATAGCATCAAATGTACAAAGGTTAACAAAAAAAACACATTTAGAGGTCATGGCGTTATTAGTTGTATGTGATATGATACTTATTTCATTGTGTAATACATTTCTTTCTGTGAACAAAAACCTCCAGTTTCATGTCTTTGTTAGTAACCATAGCAAGATTATCAAAACAGTCTACGCTAAATGATACACCACACTGTACACATCTTATTGATTTGCAATTAATGTTCTTACAGAATTGCGCCACAAAATAACTGTGCCGTTTATGGCGTATTCACACTACAATCTGGATAGTTTAGGCTGCGAAATTTGATTTTGTTCGTTATTTGTAATTTTCTATGAACTGACTGTCACTAAATACGAGCACTCTTTGATAGTGATTTAGTGTCTTTAGTCTTTGTAGTATTTTTTTATTATTATTTGTGTCCATCTGATGATTCAATCTTTTTTCATCTTATTTTTTTGCTTATTCTTATGTTGAGCTGTTAGTCACTGTTTGTCGTTGGTTGCTGTCATATTTGTTATTTGTTTTAACTTGTTTTGTACATAAATCAGGTCGTTGGTTTACTCGTTTGAATGTTTTACATTTTTCATGTTAGGTTTTTTTTTTAAAGTTTACTATACGATAGAGGTTGTGTTCATTGTTGAAGGCCGTAATATTACCTATAGTTGTTTAAATATTGGTCTCTGTGTGATAATTGTCTCATTAGCAATCAGACAACATGTTATCATTATATCAGGATTTTCTTACATGGTGTACATTGATTACTAGAATTGTTAAAGAACTTAAATCAACCAATTTCTTAGAAAAACAGGATCAGATATATTAAAAGGTAGATTAACGAGTAAATAAATTCCCGAACAAATAGAGTGTGTAATAGAAATACGTAATAATCTAAGTGGTAGTGACTTTTTGTTTGGTAGAGCCTTGAATCATATCTAAATAGTTTCATATCATAATAAAATTAGACTATTTTGTGTGTTTTTTTTCTTCAGAAAAGCGCTTTGGACGCAGTAAATTGATAAAATGTTATTGTCCTTTATTAGCACTAGGTCGATACCACTGCTTGGATTGTTAATCCCAGAGAGTATCATAGTATGTGCTTATTCCTCAGGAAAGCTGATCTAAGGGGAATTTTATTTTTTTTTGGTCCTTTTTGGTCATATAACTCATCACGTGTATACGTAAACCTCCTTGGCTTCCAAACGATTGCATTTGAGAATTCCTGATTAAGGTAAATCCAGAAAAGCGCTTCAAACGCAAGGAATAATAAACTGTTATATTAATTTTGCTCTGATTTGAAAGTTGAATCATTAATGCAAATATGCAAGACAAAATTAAAAATATCAGTAATATTTGCCAGGCTATTGTCTTATAACACCAGCAAAAAGTTATTTGGTAGACTTATAATCTCTTTTTATTTCACCTTTAAAGGCCTTACTATTGCATCTTTGTCTCTTAATAGATTCTGGTATTTGTAAGTGTGTCGTATATATGGTCATTTCCAAACCAATAGTACATATATACTTTTTCCTCTTATTTGTTTATAATAGCACGACATCAATTACATTTTAAAAAAGTACAAAAATATAGCACTATGCACATTCTCCAAAATGTTTTTTGTAATTATAACATTTAACATAAATTTATACGATCAAAAATAATTCTTCAAAACAAAAATCTCAAACAAAATATTCTATAAAAAAAATTCTTATTCAACATTCTAAACTGATGCGTAGTGTAAAACATCAATAATTTAAAGAACAATTGACTGAATATCAAATAAAATAGTTTAAAAAAAAAGAAAGACGATACCAAGTCCAATGAAAATATACAATATCACGACCAAAATTGAAAACGACGAATGGACAAACAGCATAATACAACATTACATAGAAAGATAGAGCATCAACAACCATGACACAGACTGACCGGTGGGTAGCTGCATGTGCTCCAGAAAGATACGCAGTTCCTGCTTACGATAAATATATAAATAGTTATATATGTTATATGTGACACAGAAAAAATCCACATATTCAATCCTATATCATGTTTTATTTTTAATGGGTTTATTTTTATTTTCTAACTTTGTTAGTGGTTTTTCTGTATGATAAACACATCTGACTTGCTTAAAACAACGGAAAAAAATAGTTCTATAAACTTACTATAGAATACTGAAAAAAAAATGATATCTTGAACAGTTAACAAGCAGTTATGTGTCATTTGTTTAAAAAAAAAGAAAATTTAAGTCTTTTCATTTTCTATTCCTATTAAGCCGGAACTCAATTTTTGCAAACAATTGTAGTTGATAATAATTTATTGATACTCACAGTCCAACCTCCCCCAACTGTTGACATATCACAATAAACATCTACATCATAAAAGTTGTTGTGGGGATATATCTTGTATACACCAGAAACTAATTCATATTTCTGTAGTTCTGTACAGTCCTTTGCAATTTCGTTTCCACAAATTTCTGCATCAATGAAAATAGTGAAGTTGTAATGTGTATAAATGTTACTTACTTGATAGCCATATTAACTGATAATTTCATGACTTTGAAAAGTGTAATACAGTTCAAATAAAATTATTATATGAAACCGTTTGTAATTTACTGATTATTTACACGGCTATTTATATTGCAGAACAATAGCATTGTTGCACTACTCTATTTAAAAACTCTTAATAATTATAACAGTGTCTCATTCTCTGCATTGGCCTAATGTGTAAGTTATATCCTTTGAATTCAAAAGAACAAAATAAATAAATGTGTTTATTTGTTTAAAATACATCTATTCTATACAAATATATTAGCATATTTTCTATTCTTTATATGGAATGGTGTATAATAGTTTAACTTAAACATTAAAACATTATAACACTTGCCTTTTGTATCTCGTTTCATCAATCTGAATATTCGCGACACTAGCTGTTCATCACCTGATTCTGAATACAATATGTATCTCTTATTTTCTTTATGTAATGCAACATATTAAATATGTATTAACAACTGTGAGTGTAATACCACCAAATCATAGTACGTCATATCCGGTTGCATACGAAAAAGGGTCGTAAAAAAATACCCCCTTGGATTTGACAGTTGTAGAAAATTAGTCCTTCATTTGATTGCAGTAAAACATTTCTGAATCATAAAAATATATCTTGGGTGTTTCAAAGCAATTTTTTTTTATTTGATGTTTCTATAGAATATTTTAGAAACTTAAAGTTAGATATTTACTAAAGCTTGCATACAAGCTTGTATACTCCTTATTTCTTAAATTTTGCTATAATAGAAATTTTTTTCCCAAGTAGTACTTTAATGAATTTATAATTATAAGTAAATGAAATTAATTTTGAAGCAATAACAACAAATTATTCACTAAAAGGGAAGCTGTTTATGTCCCTCTCTGGAACGCGGCGTAAATTTAAGTTTTAAGTAAGTACTTATTGAAATTCCATGGAGCCAGTTAATTTTATATGGATAGTTCATTCAGCTTGAATACTTCAATTACTCATTTTTTATCACATTTCTTTCGTGATAAGTGAAAGTTACCCCAAAGACTTATTTATTGGCCTAAAAAGTTGAAATTTGAGGCAATGAAAGGTATAAATGGACAAAAAGGGACCTTAAAATGAAGACAAAGAGGTCCATGAGTGGTATTTATGATCATAGAGTAATCTTTTGTATCATATTCAACTGATTGTAGGCAGACGAGATAAATATTTGATTATTTTTTGGTCCACACAATATTCTATCATGCTGCGGCTTAATTTGGATTTTTGGAAGAAATTTTTCTCGAATCGCTGTAGATGTCGTCGTACATTATACTAGATTTTTCTCAAACTATTGAATTAATTTTAACAAAACTGGGCAGTAATGGTTGAAATAACCAGTATCACAAAGGAAAAAATCACATTCAGTTTATTAAAAAAAAATCTACTTTAGGTATAATACCAACAAATCATAGTAAGTCACATCTGGATGCATACGAAAAAGGGTCGTAAAAAAAATTCCCTAGAATTTGACAGTTGTAGGAAATTAATCCTACATTTCATTGCAGTAAAAAATTTCTGAGTCATAAACATATATCTTGGATGTTTCAAGCACCGTTATTTTTTTATTTGTGTTTCTATAGAATATTTTGTAAACTTGAGGTAACATGGTTACTAAAGCTTGTGTACAGGAAAAAAGGGGTGAACATTTTATTGGTTAACTTCCAGTGATGATTATTTTCTTATATGCAATGAAATGTTATGTGAAATTTTGTGTATAGTATTGGACAGGATAAAAATTTACTCATGCCAAGTATTTCATTTTTGAAACAAAGATAAATTCTGCACAATTTTTTGAAAAGTGCAAATTTAACAAAAACTAATAGGGGAAATCAATGGTGGTATTACACCTATTATGGGAAGCTGCAAATACACCTTTGACCTTGTGTGTACTCTCATTTGTTCAACTTTCATTTTATTTAAGTGAAATATTACAAAATTGAAATATTTTGAGTGGATTGAGTCTCAAAACACCATGTATTAGAAAATTGCCTTAAAATAGGACTTTACCATGACTATAAGTAAATAGAGCAAGCCATACTCAGTGTTTTGCGGAGCTTTTTCTGACTTTTTCTCCTTATTTCTTAAATTTTGCTATAAAAGAAAACTTTATCTTAAGTAGTACTTTAATGAATATATAGTTATGAGTAAATGAAATTAATTTTGAATCAGTAACAACAAATTATTCAGTAAAAGGGAAGCTTGTTATGTCCCTCTCTGGAACGCGTCGTAAATTTAAGTTTTACGTAAGGACTTATTGAAACCTCCATGGAGTCAGTACATTTTAATATGGATAGTTCATTCAGCTTGAATACTTCAATTACTCATTTCTTTCATGTATGAGTGAAAATTACCCAAAATATTTATCTATTGGCCTATAAAGTTGAAATTTGAGGCAATGAAAGGTATAAAAGGACAAAAAGGGACCTTCAAATGAAGACAATTGAGGTTCATGAGTGGTATTTATCATCCTAGAGTAATCTTTTGTATCTTATTCACCTGATTGTAGGCAGATGATATAAATATTTAATCATTTATTGGTCCACACAATATTCTATCATGATGCGGCTTGATTTGGATTTTTCGAAGAAATTTTGCTCGAATCGCTGTAGATGTCGATTTACATCATACTAGATTTTTCTCAAACTATTGAACTGATTTTGACAAAATTTGACAGTAATGGTTGAAGTAACCAGTATCTTAAAGGAAAAAAATCTCATTCAGTTTATTCAACAAAAAAATCTTCTGTACGTGTAATACCGCCAAATCATAGTAAGTCACATCTGGATGCATACGAAAAAGGGTCGTAAAAAAAATACTCCCTTGAAATTGACAGTTGTAGGAAATTAATCCTATATTTCGTTGCAGTAAAAAAATTCTGAGTCATAAACATATATCTTGGGTGTTTCAAAGCACCATTATTTTTTATTTATTGTTTCTATAGAATATTTTGGAAACTTGAGGTTACAAGGTTACTAAAACTTGTATACAGGAAAAAAAAGGGTGAAAATTTGATTGGTTAACTTCCAGTGATGATTATTTTCTTATATGCAATAAAATGTCATGTGAAATTTTGTGTATAGCACTCGACAGGATAAAACTTTAGTCATGCCAAGTATTTCTTTATTTGAAACAAAGATAAACTCTGCAAAATTTTTGGGAAAGTGCAAATTTAACAAAGACTAATAGTGGAAAATCAATGGTGGTATTACACCTGTAATTGTCATGACTCCAGATCATCAGGTTCTGTGAAAAATGTTATTTTCATTTGTTGATTTCACATAAAATAATATGTCGAATAGTTTAGATTCAACCTAGGAACTTAAATACAAGTATTCCTTTAACAACGAATAGATGTGCATTTACAATTATAATCAAACTGTTTTCACCTTGTCCAATTTTTTATTATGTCTTAAACTAACATTGTAAAATCCATTAGTAATGTCCAAAATATCCTTGCGCTACGAATTTGCATTATATTTCAATTCTGAAACAAAGTGCAAAAGCAAGGATATACTTAAGGAATATTCAAAGGTTGATGTGTTTGTACAATTCCATTTTAGTTTAGCATTTTTACATCATAACTGTATTGCTTAAATAACCCTGGTTGAATTGAGGACATTATTATATTTAAGGAATGACTGTAATATGTTTTCTGTCTATGAAGAAATAACATCAAAAATGTGGTGCACACTTATTATTTTAAAGTGTGCACCACATTTTTTATGTTATTTCGAATAGACAGAAAAAAATTGTAACAGTCATTCCTTATAATTTAATTCTAAATTCCATTTTAAGCCGGAGAAATCATTAAAAAACGTTGATGACGTCACGGTCACATGACAAAATTATGTATATAAGCTGATAGACAAAAGACTGACAGACAATCAGAAGACGCGTTACATCTAAAATTAATTAAATTATATGAAAATAACAGTAATAAAAAATCGTTGGTGTGCACTAATTAACAAGAATAAACAACCGTATTACTTTACCCACAATATTATCAACGTTAACAATTGGTGTTTCTTTCCTTGCAATTACATGGTGCATATAATTGATCTCATTGTACCATGTTTTTTGACAAAAGTTTCATTATACGAGTTTTGAGAAATTTGTGTACCAAATGCGCAGACATGAATCTTGAAGGTTGAAATGCTATCACTTAAAAAGGACTGAAAAGAATCCATATTGTTAAAATAAATACTTGTTTTCCAATCCTAATAAAAATGTCATATTGTAATGTTTATGTTATTATTTTCACAATAACATATTATTTACACCAAAAATACATAAATGTAATCGGTATTTATTAGAGATGTCAACTCGGTGAAGATTTACTAATCGATTACTCGTTGGATTTACCGAGTGATATTCGAGTACTCGCTCGGTAAAAATATGTACAAAAGTAAAACACAAACTAATAGGTCGTTATCTTATGAACGTAAAACCCGCATTATTATTACCTAGGACTAGATTATAGTCCAAGGAATTCTATATCATAATTACTAGCTCATTTACTACATGTACTTATTCTGTTAACTAGCAATGATCTAATCAAGAAATTAGTTAACATCTATAGAACAATTATTACTCATACAACAGTATTTGGAAAACCGTAAGAAATCATTTAATTATTAACAAAAGGGTGCATGCTGATTAGAACTTACTGATGCCTTTAATCATTTTCTGAGAGTCTACACAGGGTGCAACGAATTTTTTCTTATTCTAAAAAAACATATCTTTTCATTTTTTTCTAGGACAAGGCGATTCTCAACTTTGTTAGGTAACTAACAGTCCTTCTGATGCAAATAAATGCTCTGACGGTAGAGGCAGGGGAATGGCTGATATTAGCTAAAAGTGTAAACCATGGAAAAGTGCTCTTGTTCGTATAACCAACATCTGTTTGGATGAATTTTAAATGACAGTTAAAAGCAAACACTCGAATGGTATTTTGATTTTTGTTAATTTTGATTAATATTTAATTTCCAAGGAGACGCTCTAAATAAAAATATTTTTGTTTTATCTTAAGAAAGCAACAACATTCTAATATGAAACCGATTAGTCAAGTATCATTTTGGTAATCGATACTCGGTACTACCGAGCGATACTCGACTACTAGAGTACTCGTTGACATCCCTAGTACTTATACTGCTTATTTAACGGGTTTTCTTGTCATTTTACACACCAAAGGATGTCAAGATTGATCAAATGAAAAACCGATCGCTGGGTGTTCTTTCTGTAGGCAATATTGATACCTAAGGTGTAAAAGAAAAAACATCGAATATGCATTATATAACATATCAGTCATCAAAAATACAATTGTATCTCATCTTACATTTTATATTTAAATGGTGTATTAATTTCTTATGTGTATAACCACGTTCATTAGCTCAATAACAAGTTGAAATAAAACTCACTATTTTAGATATAAACGTTTCCCAGTTACAATAAAAATGTTGCTGCAATTGCATGAAGCTAGAAAAAAAACGAATTTTAACGGTGTATGAAAAAATGAATAACTTGGTAAGTAATTTAGTATATGAATTGTATTAAACATTGTAAAAGAACGTGACAAGAATAGAAAAATATGATTGAAAAATATTCTTTTTATGAATGAGTCAAATAATTTTTTATTGAAAACAATGAAATAGCTCCCACCTGTCTGTTTGTCGCTAATACATGTTATATGTTCATCTGCTAAGAAACACATTTGATGTGGTGTACATACTTACCTAATGTGATGTACATAATTACTATATAAACAAATTTCTATTCAACATATTAAAAATACCTTTTACAATCCATTGAATTTCATCCTTCAACTGTTTATTTAATTTAACAATATCCTTGTACATTACCATATCTTGAAAGGAAAAAAAAGAACTTGAAATACTTAACCAAAAAACCGAAAGTTATAAAAACAGCATATAACAGTAGGAAATTAATGCATTTTGTGTCCTTTCATACATTTAGATTGAAGTTTCATCATGAATAAGCAATATTTTATTACGAACTTTTATCCTTTATTGTTTGTGTGTGTGTGTGTGTGTGAGGCTATTTAAACCACTGATTTTACACACTTACAGTATGCCAAGGACCTGTCAATGTGGTGTATATATTTACTATAAAAACAATTTCCATGCATAAAATTAATGTATTTTGCACAGACATTTATTGGAAATGTGTTTTAAATATGATTAATATATGATCACATCAATATGGTTCTTTGATAGAATAATAAATGATTCGATGCAATATTACCTAATAACTGTGAAAATACGTGATAGTTATCTTTGCACAAAACTTAAGTTCTTTTTTTTTTTAAATACAAAAATATTAGAACAAATATCTCGACGATATGAATAGTTACCTTTCAACTTCAGAATATTTTTGCTGTAAAAAAAATCTGACGTAATCTTATAAAATTGGACTTCAAAATCGCAGCGACATAGTTTTTTTTTTTTTGTGTTAATGCTGCGTTTATCAATTACTTATCAATTAATCAGTCAATCAATTTTTGAAGTTTTCCTGTTGATATTAAAATTATCAATATTGGGGAATATTTTTGCTTAAAATCACAGACATAGTATACAGAAAAAATTAAATGAATAAAAACAAATTCACAAAGTAAAATGAAGAGTAGATAACGACAACGAACGACCCGATGTCAATTTCATAGGAGTTCCCCTGAACTTGATAAAAACATCATTTGAATTCTGCGTACAATATAATTGCTTTGCACGAAATAAAAGGAAGATTCCTACTGTAAGATTGTTTCAACATTTATATATCATGTTAACCAAATTTTCTCGTAGGAAATAATTGTTTAGCCGTATTTTGCACTACATTTAGGAATTTCCGGTAAATGATGCTGTTAGTTTTCACGTTTAAACTGTTTTACATTTGCAATTTCATGACTTTTGATAGCTGACTATGCGGTATGGGCTTTGTTCATTGTTGAAGGCCGTACGGTGACCTATAGTTGTTATTTTCTGTGTCATTTGGTCTCTTGTTGAGAGTTGTCTCATTAGCAATCATACCACATCTTTTTGTATATTTAGTATTGTCGTTTATTTATGCTTTTCTGAACCTTTTATAGTATTTGACTTGGTTTTGCAAAAGTTTTAATTCGAGTGCCACTGATAAGTCTTCTGTAGACGACACGCTCAAGTGGCGTTCCTTAAATTTAAAAAAGAAACATGGTATTGTTGATGAGGTGTTTTCAGTTTCATATGAAACCACACATTAAGGTGAAGATTTAACGTTTTATGTTTTCTGTAGGACAACGACTCGTAATTTTTTTTTTTTTTTTTTTTTTGAGTTTCCAGGTAGATTGATTGATGAAGATTATTAATATAGGAAATATTGGGTATATGTCAATAAAACATTACCACAGAGAAACACACAGAAGACATCTGACCATAATTGTTTGACAAAAACTAATTCAGAAAAAGGAAACGTTAAAATAAAATTGAGAATGGAAATAGGGAATGTGTCAAAGAGACAACAACCCAACCAAAATGCAGAAAACACCACAAGGCCACCAATGGGTCATCAACAACATTGAAGTTGTTGAAAATGCCTTGCTGTAAACACAACTAGTCTATTGATGTAGTGTTAGAATGAGAGGGATCCCAGTAATCGAGTTGTATATTATAGTAGTTAGACAATAAAACGCACCATACAAACACCATGTATTTCGTCAGGTACATGTACTTGTCGACTGGATTGGCCTTGAATATTATCCTTATTTTGGTTTGATTACATTGCTCTCGTAACAAAAGTTACTTATTGTTTGTCTAATACATTCAGAGTAACTTTAGTTTCAGCATGCATAGTCTTAGATGCATGATTTTTTTATTAGTTGTTAGTGGCTTTGAACTAGCTGTCAGTAACAGCGAGTACTCTCAGATCTCTACTTAGTGTCTTTTTGTTGTTTGGGTGTACAAGTACCCGGCCACGTCCACTTGTAATTGTAGTATAGTATTTTTATCCATCTGATGAGTTAAGCTTTTTCAGCTGATTTTTATAGTTCGTTCTTATGTTGTACTGTTACACCACTGGCCCAGGTTAGGGGGAGGGTTGGGATCCCGCTAACATATTTATCCCAGCCACATTCTGTATGTATGTGCCTGTCCTAAGTCAGGAGCCTGTAATGCAGTGGTAGTCGTTTGTTTATGTGTTACATGTTTGTTTTTCGTTAATTTTTTGTACATAAATTAGGCCGTTAGTTTTCTCGTTTGAATTGTTTTACATTGTCATTTCGGGGCCTTTTATAGCTGACTGTGCGGTATGGGCTAATTGTTGAAGGCCGTTCGGTGACCTATAGTTGTTAATTTCTGTGTCATTTGGTCTCTTGTGGAGAGTTGTCTCATTGGCAATCATATCACATATTCTTTTTTATAGTTATTTGAATTAGATATAATACATAAAAACATAACAACAAAAGTGTCTGGATCTATGTTCATTTATACATTTTTCCAGTAAAGGTAGTCTTCATTCATTTACACGTATTACACTGGTTAGATTGTATAATTTGAGAAAAAATTTGAGACTATGCTTTAGACATGTTTTTGTAATGTTAAAATACACGGAATATAATCAGACTTGAATGGTAAAATGCAGTAAAAATTATGTATACTTAAAAGATTTTGATATTTAAAAAAAACCATACATTTTAAGTTCGAAAATGTACCATTTGTAGGTCTATCATTATAATTTGTATTGGTTTAAAAAATTACCAAATCGTTGACCGTAAAACTGCGCGAGGAAATATTAAATAAAAGAAATGGGAAAGTACGACCTCCAAACTCTTTCGATTTTTTATCATTAACATGAGAAATGTTTTTAAAGTGCAGATGCAAATGAATTTATTGTTGCTGAAACTATATCAGTTCATTTAAAACATTCACCCTTTACTTACTGTTGATTATTTTCATACATAAGAACACTGTAAAATGCAAATTAGAAGTTTAGTAGCATTACACAAATTTTGAATAAAATTTTAAATATATAGTTTAAATATTTACCCTTTACTTACTGTTGACTATTTTCTGTGTGTCCTGCATTATCTCTTTGGTTGTTCTGTTGTTATTATCCAGTAAACACATTCCTTTAATTAAATTATGTCCACATATATTTGTTTATAGTAGTATCTCAAGTTTCGTACACATTATAAGATTATTTTCATACATAAGAAAACTGTAAAATGCAAATTAGAAGTTTAGTAGCAGGACACAAGTTTTCAATAAAATTTTAAATATATAGTTTACAGTATTTGTTTAGTTTTATCAGATGAAAAATAAACTAAAACGAATGACCTTCCAGGCGCATGTTTTCTATTTAATTCTTACTATTGCTCTCCACAGCAGCGAGCCAGGATTTTACTAGTATACTTTTTTACAAGGGAAACAGTTCGTTTTAAATTGCAATTTCAAAATTTGATTCGGGCTTTTGGTAGAAAATCTCGAGTATCGTATAGGGCTGCGTTGGCGGTACATTTTGCTCGTCATATTCCCACGTCCAAAATTTAAAACGTAAATGGATTTAATATAATTCAAGCTTTGTCAAATATCATTCATCTATTTTTGGCACGCTTCTGTTCTAATTAGCAAACATTGTCTTAAAATGCAAGAATGACACATGCGAAGCTTCTATTTGTTACGTTATTTTTAGGTTTCAGCAATAATTTGTTCTTTGTATCATCAACATTGCTCATTTTAAATAATGGAAGTATACATTAACAACAATGAGTAATATGAACATGGAATCATATAGAATACACTTATCAAAACTGAATAAAATATATGCACAATTGGCATTTATGTCGTATAACGTTCGAGCAATTACATTCTTTATGAAATAAAACAAAAAAACTTAGAAACATATCAGCCAATAAAATGATCAATTAACTGTTAAAATATCAAAAATATGCAATTGTTAGCTAAACTAACATCAAATTGTGAATAATCTTTAAAAAATGGTCAATTGGTAAAAAACAATATAGCGTATTACAAAACGAAAAACACTAAAAAAAAACCATTTGACTACTTGATTGATATACATGTAGTTACCTTAGGATAATTAAGAATATAACAGACAAGTCAAATTAGTATTACTGATAATATTTTCCAGTATACACAAACACTTTATATACATTAAATTTTACCTTTTAATTCGTTTATAATTCCGTCCACCATGGATTCCTCTCCTGACGAATTTTGAGAATTCCGAACTTCTAAAAAAGAAATGAAAACAATTAGTTCTCCTTTGACTGTATCTATGGAATGATTATAACATGTTTAATCATTTTTGACACGCGATACGTATTGACATTAAGATGTGTTTTAACGAATAGTTTAATACTACTGGGCTAATATCTTTTTTTAATATTACTGAATCAAATTAGTGTTAATTGTTTAGATTATTAAGGAACAATTAATAAATAATTATGCAAATATTTTAAATATAACGACCGTGATATTAATGAACAAAATTGCTTGCAATATAAGAACTATTCTATCTCACCTATATTTCCCGTGACTGAAAAACTATTAACTGCCACAAACAAGGTACAGGGCAATATCCAATGCATTATCTATATTCCAAGGTTTCGTGATGCCAAAATGGAACACACTGAATATCAATATTTTTTTCTGTTCTTCTTCTCCAAAAGCTTTGTTTACGAACAAATGTTCTCCAACATATGTATACTAAAATTTTCCAATTTCTCAAGCAGATGTGTTACAATCCTGCAATAGCAAATGGTGAGGATTTGTTTTCTAAAACTTGTCCCACGTGCAAATTTCCATCAATTCATCATAACGATCATTAAACTTCTTCTAGCACATGTAACATTATGCAGATAAACAGAAAACATTATATGATTTGTTTATTATCTTACATATCAATCAACTTATCCTATTTCTACAGAAAGAAACATACACATTTCAAAATAGATTTATGATTTGTGTCAGATTAAATGTTTAGTTTGAAAAGTTAGATTTGTATGAAGTGAATTGCACCGAAATGAAGTAAATGTTTACTTCTGACGAAAAGGGTCTAAACTTCAAGGTTACCAATCAATTTATATCTATAACATAAATATTACTCCTTTAGAAAGCTGATCGTAGATGATATTGATTTTGTTACACTCGCTTTAGAGCTACTGAAGTAATTATTCCTTTTAATATAAACAATGTATACGAAATTAAAAGGCAATGTTTCCTTGATTGGTTACCTGTCTGTTAATCTATTGCTGTACATAATTAAGTTTTGTCATAAAGGAAAATGCCATTATTTTATATTTAATTTACTACGACTTTCATTTACTCAGTAAAGATCATGCAATTCAAACATATTAACACACCAATACAATGCATTGCGACATATAATTACAGGAGACAGCTACCAAACTACAGAGAAAATCAAGACACGTAAATGCCAACATACTGTTTTCATCAAAGAAAAATTTATATTTCATCATTGAGTTACTGTTAACATTGAAATTCAATGTAGTCTATATCAAAATATTTGGTGGATATAAATTATATAGCATTTAGTCATTTTAGCGTTGATTTGATTTAATTTGAAACCATTATTGTAACCGGAGGGCTAGTCAAAAATGCGTTACCAAACCGTGCTGAAAATATTAAATGTCTAAAATTGCCATGAAGCTGCAAACAACAAACACACATATGAAACACTGCCATCGGTTTACTACCCTTAATACCATTGATGTTCACGTTTAAATACACCTAGAGAGTATTGATTGTTTATTTTTAATCTTTCAAATTTTAGTTAACAAAACTGCTCCTTGAGTCCGCCTTTTCAACCCAAATCCACGCGAAAGAATTATTTTGTGAAAACCCGTAGCAATTTATCAATTTGTGCTGGTGGGTCCTGTTATTGTGATGGTAAATCCTGAATCAGTGCTGGTGTTTTTTTGACAAGACGTAGGCCCATTTGAAATAAACGTAAAACAATCGATAACATTGAACAAAGAATGTCTACAATTGGATTTGTCACTTCTATTTTGTTTTCTTTTGGGCATCCATTTGACTATGATAAGCGTTTTCAAAAACTCGTATAATTAACATGTTCTTCTCATGAGTGCAAATTGGAACCACACTTTTTTTAACGGTAGAACCATCAAATTTGGCAATAATGTACCCCTAGGGATAGGTAACACAATACAAAAAAAAATTTGGTGTGGCTCGCCTGGTTCGGCAACTGGAGTGAAAACAGTGATAAAATCCTATAGGATATAATTTTCTCCCATAGGATTTTTAAAAATCCTACAGGATTTTGAGAAATCCTATAGGATAAAGTCATAATTCCGTAGGATATTTTTAATATCCTACAGGATATTTAAATCCTACGGGATTTATAATCCCTTAGGATAATAAAAATATCCTACAGGATATATTTTCTCCCTTAGGAGAAATAAAAGCATTTCCTACAGGATATTTTTTATCCTGTAGGATATTTGTCTAATAAAATAATCCTGTGGGATAAAAAAATATCCGATAGGATTAATAAAAATCCTAAGGGATTTCATTACAGAAAAAATATCCTGTGGGATAAAAAAAAATCCTAAGGGAAAATAAAAATCCTATGGGAGATTAAAGCAAATCATAAGAGAGAAAAATCTCCTATGGGAGAAAGAAATATCCTATGGGAGAAAGAAATATCCTATGGGAGAAAGAAATATCCTATGGGAAAAAAATATCTATTTGCGAACAAATCCAAAGAAAAGAGAATAATTTTTATATGTTCTAGTACTAAGTAAAGGTATTATTTTATTTGACCAAATATCCCCAGATTTCATTGTTCAAGAAATGTTAATTTTACTACCAATGACACAAATTCCCGATTATTGTACATTGTACTTCAAACCTGGATCTTGCATGTCAGTTACTGCTACTGGTCCTTTGTTATTTTATGTTTATTATTGCCATTTGCGTAGTTTCTTCTGGTATCTATTCTAAATTCAAACTGACTTCTTTTAAGTTGAGTTTTCCCCTGTTTTATGCAGTGTGGTTGTTTATTCCTCATTTGCTAAAGGTATAGGGGCAGGTCAAAAGTCATAAATTACATTTTTTCGCCTGTTCCAAAGTAGAGACCTTTCAAGTATACTTTGTTAATCTCGTGTGCTTTTGTTTTTCTTTAATTTAAGTTCAAAAGCATGTTTTGGTGTTTAGTATAGCAACCTTTTCGCTGGACTAGTATACATTATTGTTTAGTGACCAATAGAGGCCCGCCTCCATGTGTGGGATTTTCTCTCTGCATAGAGGACCCATTAGGGCACCTGTACTCAACCCTATTGTTATACTGAGACAAGACTGTGACACCATCTAAACCAAAACTTAATACTTAGTATGTGAAAAAAATCAGAAGCAAATTCAAACAACACATGGTGTTGAGGCTAAGAATACCACCAGCTCTTTATTGAAAGTAAGAGCAAGTCGGAAATATGCGTCCAACAGATCTATCCAAATAGGAGTTCATTGACAGACAGACAGACAGACAGAGGCTCATTCTACAATTACATAAACAAAAACCTTCGAAAATCGTATATAAGTGGTTTTTTTTATTAAGTGTAGGTAGCATTCTATATGCATGTAGTATTTGCAACTGAACATTTACATTAACTAACAACAATAAATCCTTCAACAGAATTTGATAACCCAAATTTTGTGAAACTAAAAACAATATGTTCTAAAGAGAGTGTGTTGTTCACCTAGGTCTAGGTGCATCTTCAATCTTTTTTTTTTAAATTACCGGTATATTGCTGATAATTTCATAAAAATGTATGTACTTGGTTTATACAGATAGAAAGTTACGGAACTATTATAGATAGTCACAATTTAAAATATATGTTGAATATAAGAGAGAAAATAATCATATAAATTGCACACATTTAGCATATTTCTGTACACAAAAGGAACGGGTATACGAAATTTTCTAATATGTTGAAAGGGTAAATACACAAATGATTTGGTTTATAAATATAAAGATAATAAACACACACATCTTATAGGAATAAAGTCTCACCAACTATAGCATTTCATATATAATTGTCATTCTTGGTTGAAATAGTGGAAGGAGTCATTTAAAAAAATGTACATGTACGCTGTGGTTAGTAGTAGTTATTCAACTTCCTAAAAAATGTGCATTGCCTCATTTGCATTATACACACCATAAATATATTTCCATAGATGTGGTATGAGTGCCAATGGGACACCTCTCTCATCCAACTCACAATTTGTAAAAGTAAACCATTATAGGTCAAAGTACGGTCTTCAACACGGAGCCTAAACTCACACCGAACAGCAAGCTATAAAGGGCCCCAAAAATGACATGTGTAAAACCATTCAAACGGGACTATTTCTGTTATAATTTTTCTACGCCTACGATAGTAGAGGGGCATTATGTTTCCGTTCTGTTTGTCCGTTCGTTCGTTCAATTGACCGTTCGTTCGTCCGTCCGTTCGTCCGTCTGTCACGCTTCAGGTAAAAGTGTTTGGTCAAGGTAGTTTTTGATGAAGTTGAAGTTCAATCAACTTGAAACTTAGTACACATGTTCCCTATGATATGATCTTTCTAATTTCATGCCAAGTTAAGGTTTTGATCCCAATTTCACGGTCCACTGAACATAGAAAATGATATTCCGTGTACTATGGACACATTCTTGTTATATGGAGGGGGGTATGTATTGTTTAATCGTAGAGTCAATTTATGATTTCAACTATCCAAACAAAAAAGCATTGTTCAAAAGGGGTCGCCCCGATATTCCGGCACCCCATTAGTCCGACACCACATTGGTCCGACACCCCATTAGTCCGACACCCCATTGGTCCGACACCCCATTAGTCCGACACCCCATTGGTCCGACACCCCATTAGTCCGATACCCCAATAGTCCGACAAAGGTAAATAACTGCCAAAATAGAAAATCTACTACATGAGGGTGTGGATTGGGGTTTACAGAACAGAGAATAATGGGCAAAAATATAAAGAATAGAAAAAAATGAACCAAAAAATAAAGAATAGAGAATAATGAGGTGCTGAATTATAAAGATTAGGGAATAATGGGCAAAAAGTATAAAGAATAGAGAAATGCCCTAAGAATACAGAAATGAACCGACCCCCGACTCTCCCCCCCAAATCCAGATACTCCTTCGTAGAATCGTTGTTGACGTGGTATTTAAACTACTCTTTCTTATGAGTATTTCACAGAAACAGATAATACTATGCCACCTATCTGGTATTACTATTAAAGAAGTACCATGACCATATGCATATAAAGAAATCGAGAACCTTGCAAGTTTTGGTAAACTAATAAAAGATGTTTTCTATATGGGAACACATTCTACTAAAAAGAAATGTCATCAGCAGTACAGTTTCTCATCATAAAGAATAATGTTCACGTGATTTGGTCTCGGATACAGTCAAAACTGTATGTCATTTTACCACAAAGAGAGACTATTGTTTCCAAACATTACCATCTCCATTCATCTATACTGTACATGAACTTAAAGATCGAAAACTTAAAAAAAAACTGAGAGCTACCGAATTAATTAGTTAATTGATAATACGCTCGAAAATTGACGAGTTTAAGTTTATAACATCGATAGTAAAATTGTCCAATCGGTGATAATTTTTCTATACAAAAAAGACTTTATTAAGGTTAAAACTTCGATAAAAATGGATAAAATGTGCTGTCAGAATGAATTTGAACTGAATATAGTCATGAAAAATTTGCCACTGGAAATTAGACAAGCAAATAACTACCAATCTATCTACCATTTTTACATTGATTATTTCTGA